GATTTTATTGATTTCTCAAGAAGTTTGAGCTACGCGGATGGGAGTTGGCACAAGGAGTAGGCGAGTATGCTGATTAAGATTATATTATTTACAAGGCCGGGCGAAGCGGGATTTGCTAGCTAGTATACGATACTCTTTTTACTTTTTTTTTCACGCAAACGGCCAGCTTGACCTTTGTTACCCTCGTGCAGGGCCCTGTTCTGACTCCATCTGACAGATTTAGATAAATATCTCTTTGGAAAAGGCGACATTGAGCCAAACTTCCTCAATTTCCTTGATTACTTCACCCCCATTCTAGCAATAGTATGACATAGATAGTGAATTATTCGCTTTTCGAAATTGTTTGTGGTCTCCCTCATGCTAAGTGCTTGATTATCTTACCGTGAGACAAAGTTGAAACTTAAGTGGCCAAAGCGTTTGCCACATTTTTGATGGCTTTAGCTGCTTTAGTGATGATGATGTCTTATCTACCTAGGCCCTGAATACGATATCATTCCCATGATGGGGGTTGGAAAGGAGTTTGATCAAAATGGACTTACTGTATGTCAGATAAACGCTGAGGTAAAGTTGTTTGGCTGAATTTGGCAAGCTAATAACGCTGTTTTGAGATTCACCACATAGGCGTGGATTTCAAGGAACGATTTGCCCCCTTGATGAGGAAGCTTCTGAGCGACCGCCGATATGCTATCTTGGCAGTTAAATTCGTAGGACATCATCGCACCTTTTTGCTAAATTTTGAAAATAAAAAATGCGTTGAAAAATATCTAGCACGATTTTTTTGACTAACTCATTCCCTGCCTTGTTATACGGTTGCCTTTCTGTGTGAACAGATTTTATAATAATGATAACTTTCGAAACACTATGTCAGTATTTGTGTTTTTATCAAAGCAATAAACTGTGCAGATGAATACACATGATGTTAGCGTTGCTGTTTCGTTTTTTTTTTGATCTTACGGTTTCAGTGGAATTGCAGTAATCTGCAAAGCAATGTCAAGCAAGAATCTACTTACTCTGCGGTAACAGAAAGTGCATATTGTTGAAAGCAGTGGATCGGCAAGGACCATAGTCAGATTTCGGTAGCGTTATGTAATATACCCCTAAGTACACCTTAGCTCCACCCGCACCCTTCTATTCAAGCGCTAAGAGCTGAAAATGCACTTCAAAGTTTTGCAAATGACGCCCAACCAATGTGGGTGGGGCTAGTGGAGGTTGAAGCGCATTTTCATGGTGCAAAGGCTGGGTTCATACT